TTGAGGATTTTTTTTTCAGTTATAATTAAGGCTGCTATGAATATGAGCATTGTGTCCATATAATGAAGACTTAATTCTTCAAGGTATACACTAAGCAGTGAAGCTGCTGAGTCATAAGTATATTAAAGATTAGTTTTATTAAATAGAGTCTTCCAAAGTGGTAATACTGCCAGTTTTCCCATTTTAGTCATTTGGGTAGGGATGTAGTGGCATCTCATCGTGAGCTGCCTTTCTGAAAGGACTACAGATATTAAGCATCTTTTCATCTGTTTTCAGCCTTGTATATATATTTTATTTTGTAAAATGGCTGTTCCAGTCTTTTGTCCATGCTTTCAAAATCATATTCTTTTTTACTAATTTACCGATTATTGTTAAGACAATCATTTGTGTATTACAATTACCTTCCTCAGTATGTGGTTCACTTTTTGACACRTTTTCATGGTATCTTTCAATAATTACTTAAGTCTACCTTATCAATATTTTATCTTAATTCTTTTAATAAATCTTTGCCTACCCCCAAATTATGATGATACCCTCCCATGTTTTATTCTAGGACTTTATTTTATTATTTCCTATATTTTAAGTACTGATCTTTTTATCAAGTTAATGTTTCTTATAAGGTGTAAGATAGAGGAGGTTGAAGGAAGATTTTCCCCAAAAATGGGTATTTTAATTAACCCAGAAGCATTTACTGACAAAACCCACCTTTCCCTACTGAACTGTAGTGGTGCCTTCTTTGCAAATCAAGTGACTTCACCAAATTCAATCTTTAGTGATAAATCCTGGTTCTAAAAAGCATTTAAGAAATGTTTAACTGTTTGCTATCGGAAAATTAAAAACAATATCATGCTGAAGTCTGTTTAGAACATTATTTATTAATTCTTTCAACAAATATTTGAACTCTTGCCAAATGCAAAGCACCCTGCTACACTACATAAAAGGCTGCATTAGGTTAACTCTTCCCTCATCATCTCAAGCAAATCAATCATATTCAGGAATATAATAAGTACTACAAATTTGTTTCTTATCTTTGTATTACCTATGGGAAGAGTTGTGTTTTCCTTTTTATTTAATTCCAAAATTACATAGATTAACATAATAGCAAAGTAAGATTGTTCTTCTTTTCTAAAAGTTAGCTTTAAGTAATGTGAATTAAAGTTCTTGGACAAAAATCCTCCTGTTCCAAATTATTTACTCAAATGCCAGGATTCTAACAATGATGGACAAATAGATGTAACCAAGGAGTTTAAAATCATCACCAAACAGAAAGGGGAAGTGGAATGCTCAGTAGCTCTAAGAAGGAAGGAACCTTTGTGTCTTGGAGAAAGTTGTAACAGTAGAGCAGACCCTGTTTCTTAGCATGGTATGGGATGCAAGGCCCCTTGGAAGAGGTCTCTCTTCCTTAGACTTCATGGAATGTCTACCATCAGACAATCCTATTTCTGTTGCCTGATATTTTATGGAGATTTGCCAGGTTCAGATCCAGGAGGTTTAGTTTTTTTAGATGTATAATCTGAGCCCTTATTTGCCTGCGTATACTAAAACTTATAGCAACCCTACARTTTCATTTCTTAGGTACTCAAATATTTAACTAGTGTTATAATTCATATTTAACATTTTATTAACTTCTGAGTAGAAAAATCACAATTATGTAAGATATAAAGAATCACAAGGTAATACATTATGACGTACCTACCATTAAATTTAAGGTAAAGAACTTTACGGTATGACCTTTGAAGTCATGTGTGCTTCTCCACATCCTGTTCCCTTCCCTCTATTTCAGAGAGGGATATCAACTACTGTTCTGAATTTAGAGTCTTATCTTTCCCTTAACCTCACTTTATATTTTGACTACATATGTTGGTACCACCAAGCCGTATCTTATTTTGCTTGGACTCTTATTGTCTGTGTGCTTTGAACTTGTTTTTTCACTCAACATTATGGTTGTGAGATTCATCTGTCATTATTTGAGTAGCTATATTTACGTTTACTTGTCTAGTGTGACCTATTATGAATATGTAATTTACCTATTCTGATAATGGATATTTGGATTATTTTCAGGTGTTTATTACAAGCAGTATTGATAAAAACATGTATAACATTGATGAGAAAAAGGAAATACTGTATTTCAGAGGAAATCAGGCACATGCGCACAAGAGAGAATATGGTATATTTCTTATTCCTATAGGGAGATCACAAGTAGGAGGAGTGAGCACAGAGTGGACATTTTTGTCTTCATCTATAGATCTAAATAGTTATTAGATCAGTTATTCTCTGTATTTGAAATGCTGTAGGCTATTATAGTGTCAGTCTTTTTGACCATTAGGACAGAGGTCAGTGATGCTGTGTAACCCTAATAAAGTGTCTTTCTAAAGAGATACTTAGCAAAAGAAGCCTTGAGAGTTTTATTGTTTACACAGCCTGGAAGCTGTCACTGAGTCCTTAAAGTGAAGCATGACATTGTGCAGTGATGCGCTAATGGACAAAGAAGTACAGAACAGAATCAAGGATGTCCTTTGGGAAGTTGTCAGAGTCTGTTACAAATGTAATATCAAACTGCAGTGAGATGGAACTGAAGACTTCCAAAGCACAGGCACACTTCCTGTGAGACATGGGACTTGACACAAATGGAACATCTGGCTACTTGAGCAGATTCATTCAGACCATTTATGAGCCCATCAGAATATTGAGCGGCAGGACAAGGTCAGCAATAGCAAATACTTGGCAGCCTATGTGCCAGCTCTGAAATAATTTGAAATAATTCTACTACATAGCCTTCCTGAGCTAGATGTGTACACAAAATGGTCTGTGGTAGAGCTCCTACATGACTATTAAATAACAAGTTGCAGGGGGGAAAGCATAAGCTAAGGTAGAAGGACTGTCTCRAGATTGACCCTAAGCAGTGAGGCCTAACAGGCAGACCTAGCAGCTGCAGAGCATTGTGCTGTGTGGCTGTAAGGGCTGGCCTTGCTGTTGATGAGCAGAGAGGCTTTTGGCTGGCTGGCTGTTGAGTCTACAAAGCAGGACCACAAACAGTGACAGATGTTTAAATAGTAGGCATAGCTGCTAACAAAAGGGCAAACTTGACATGTGTCCTGGTTGGTTGAGRTTGTTGGTCTCATAATACTGACTTTGGTTGTACTCATGAATATGATTCAGGAAAGATGTTATGCACACACACATATATAAATAAAAGCAAAGTTGTACTCCTACTTTCTACCTCTTCACAATAGAAAAAAAAAATAGGTTAAAAACAAACAACCAAAAAAAAAAAAAAAAAACAAAACCAAAAAACCCCAGTGGTTGCATTGAAGTACTGGAAATAGAGCAGTTTATCATTATTAGTCTTGAATTCTTTATCAAGTCTAATTGCATTTTTATTTTATTGACAGAATGCTGAAAAGACTTTTAATAATGTCCTAAGAACCAATGATGTAATAATACTTTAAGTTTCAAAGTGCCTTATATCCATTTTTTTTTAAGAGAGTGAGAGAGGAGAGAGAGAGAGAATTTTTAATATTTATTTTTTAGTTCTCGGCGGACACAACATCTTTGTTGGTATGTGGTGCTGAGGATCGAACCCGGGCCGCACGCATGCCAGGCGAGCGCGCTACCACTGAGCCACATCTCCAGCCCCCTTATATCCATTTTAGTATGCATTATTTTCTAGTTCCTTTCCAGTAATTTTTTTTTTACAAGATTGCTTATTTATTTTCATTTCTTATAGGCTGTTTTCTACCTAATGGGCATTCAATAAATATTTAACTGGACTAAACCCCAGGGAGTAAGATGTCAGGTTATGGTAACCTAATTGTATCTATAAGGGAGACACTGTTTTTCACCATCCATTTTTATCTTTGCAGTTTCAGGTTGTAGTATAATTCCAACAGTCTGAATATACTATATTTAGATTGGCAACACATTGGCCCTTTTTTAACTTTTTTGCACCAAAATGTTTTGCACTAAGTTTACCACCTTTACAACTTTTCATCCATTTTTCTATCTTGTTGGATTTGTACAGTTATAGACTACGTCAACTTTACTGACACTAGGAATTAAACTCACTGATGAGTTAGGTGAATTAAAAACATGAGGGTGAGAAAGGAATAATAGGTATGRTACAGGGACAAATAAGCAACACCTAGAAGGGATCTGAAGTGCTACATGAGCACAGCCATCAAGAGAAACAAGGAAGGAATACTGAAGAGACTGGTCAAGGAAGAAGAACTAAGATTAGACACAAAACGATAAAGGTCCCTCACCCAAGATACAGAGATTACTAAATACTGGCTGAGAAACCTCAGATCTTTACTGTGTGAAGGAGACAAGTTTCACATTGTAAGAAACAAAGTATGCTATTCTGTGTGCACACACTTGTGTTTATCATGATTCTTAATCACATTTGGAGGCAGTATAACTTAAATGATCCTGTGATTTTGGACACTTTAAAGCATGAATAATATTTTTACAAAGAGATTACTTTGTTTATAAGAAAATTTCATTGTTAAGTCCTGTYATTTGTAATTTGATGAGTGAAATGTTGAATTTTTCAGTACAGAAGCAGAGAAAAACATCTTGGTTGTTAAAAAAAAATTTGTAAACTATGCAAATAGTTATTTTGAACTCTTAAAGAATAGCTTTTAATGCTTTTAAAAAAGTTACCTATTATTGGTTTAGGATAGCAATGAGTAAAGTAATTGGTCTTCCATTATGCTATTATTTATTACAGGGGGTAGTCTGTGTTGCCCTCTATTGGTGATTAATAGCTACTTTTGGCAAAGTGCTACCTTATGTATCATTTATATGTATGTAATAATTCTATCRAATAATGTGCTTTAAAAAATAAAAATTGAAAACCAGCCTAGTAKTCATGGTCATGAGTTGGAAATACGAGATTTTGGGCTTTCTTGATTTAACAGTTTTATTTACTAAGGTAGTATTAAAATACTTTTGTCCTTGATTAATTTTTATTTTTTACTTTTTTTTTTTTTTTTTGTCAGAGCTCCACCTCAAATCAGGCGTCCCAATCGAGAAGTAAGACCTCTGAGGAAAGAAATGGCAGGAGTAGGAGCCCGGGGACCTGTAGGCCGAGCACATCCCATATCAAAGAGTGAGAAACCTACAAGTAGGGACAAGGATTGTAGAGCAAGAGGGAGAGATGACAAGGCAAGACTGTCTCTTTGTAATTCACTCACTTGAAACCCATGACTTTGGTGGTATTACGGTTTTTATTGGCTTTTCAGGGTCCATGGTTTTAATGTGAAAGAGTTAAAAGAAGAGTCTGATTCAAAACCTGAGTGATCTTTATATTTTGAAGGCCATGCTGCAATGTAAAAAACCTCAGAGAGCAAACATGGACACCATACAAGTATTTAGTAAAATAGATACTTTGTAGCAGTATTTCAAATCGTTTGGACACTTTAAAAACAGTATTTTAACAAATATTTGGAATGAAAATGAATAATAAATGAAAACATAGTTGTAGCAGAAAGACTTATAAGAAAGTAGATTCACAGAATGAAATGAGGGATATGATTTACTACTGCTAAAAATAAAAAAATTTATTTAGCCGAAATTGTAAAGTGCAATAAGGCTTGTTTTCTTTAATGAGAAAACTTCCATTGGACTCAAAATAGACCAGCTTCCTAAGCATTAGGAATGTTGAGACTGACAGAATAAAACTGGTGTTTTCTGGGTATTTCTACTCAAGAGAGAGTCGAAGACATATTTGCCTCTCTACCTTATGAAGATACTGAAAATGGATTATATTTTTTGGCTGTTTGTGATTTGTTGAAATAAATTTTCATAAACAGTAGGTGAATCCATCTCAGGTCCTTTTTGGAATTAATGATGATACCAATAAATTATTTCCTGCTAAGAAATTGAGCTGGTTTCCCCCCATTATTAAAAGCCATACAAATGGATCTTGAAAATATGTATGTTAAATATCATCTTTGTTTTTTTCTTTGTTTCTCATTTTTGTTCAGCTAACCTTAGTTTGCATTTTAGAGAATAAAAGTAGGGATTGAAGTCCAACCCTCACTCTGATATTAGCTTTTAGGTAAACTTTTAGAACAAGATAATGAACTTTGTCTTTAATTTCATGTAGTATAAGAGAAGAACTGTGGCCATGGTTTATTGGATGCTTCTATTGCTAGGCACCATTCAGAGTGATTACATAATAATTCATGCAACAGTTTCAAGAAGTAGGTATCTTATTATTGCTATTTTACAGATGAGAAAACTGTGGTATATAGCACTAAAGTAACTTGCCAGGAGTGAAAAATGAAGCCTAGAAGAATGGAATTTGTAAAGTCACATATCTTTGTATTCCCCCCCTCCCATATTATGTAGTATTCTTACATACCAAACTAGATTGTTAAAATCTGAATTAGATTTGAAAAAAATAATCTAGAATAAGTAAATGTTGATTTTTAAATGTGTTAATGATGCTGAAGCCRAGAACAAAACAACCAAGCAGCATTTGAATATCCAATACCTTTTTGTCTGGAGGTTATAAGATAGTCTTTCATTTATGGTGTTTTCAAATAATTTTCTAAATATTAGCTTTTTTTAAAATTGACATTTAGGTACTCAGAATGTCACTGTAAAGTAAGCCATTTATTAAAAAAAGAGAGAGAAACCTTCCACTTGTTCAGAAATAAAGGATTTTCTGAGTCACTAAAAATAAAAGGAACTAAACAAACTCATGGAAACTTCCTTAGAATTTGAAAGTTTATTTGTTTGGTTCTGATTATCATAACCCTCAAATATTCATTAGAATACTGCAGTTCCTGAAACTAACTGAATTCTATGATAGGGTTTGAAGCTGTTAGGTAAAACTGATAAATATCCTATTCCATTGAGAGGTGATTTGAAAGTGAATATTGGAAGCATCCTTTATAGTCTCTATCCCTATACCCCACCTTGGTCAGCTTCATTTTAAAATCAGCATAAATAAATAACTAAACTGAATTTTCTAGTTTATTTATTTATGTAAATATATAAAAATTTAGTTGTATCAACATATTTTTGTATTCTAGCTTATGATCTAAAGTGCATTTATTGTGTTAAGTCATGGTCAGAATTTTGAAAGCTGCTGCTGTACTCTCACAACTCACTTTATTGATATAAAAAAGTAAGGATAAGAGAAATTACATATCTTGCCCAAGGTTCTTTGTGTATTTGAATTTTTAGTGTAGTAACAAATTTACTTGTCCTTGAGGACTATCGTGCACAAGTACACATTTACACGCGAGTTTGTTATAAATCTGATAGAAAAGTTGTGTAGCACATAATTTATAAACAGTAAACTACCTTATATTTTTATTGTAAATTTCATAGAGCCAGTGGACTCTCACAGAATGCTTTTTTGCTGATTTGGCCCAATTTTCATATCTGTACCTGACCTGCATTTGCATTTGATGGGGAAATGTACTGCTGAAATGAATGTTGGTGGATAATGTGTTTTTATTAGTAAGATGGTAATTAAACAATAAAAATATGCTGGAATTCACTTATTCATCAGTGACTTGAGCAGCTTTGATAATTTGGATAATTTACACATATGGAAGAATTTTTTTGTGTGCTATTTATAATGTAACAACAATTGAAATGACACACTTTTAGTTTAATTGCATTATTAAAAATTTTCTCTTCACTTCTAWAGTCTAGACAATCAACAGAACAAATCAGCTCTTTTTGTAGCATATGTCCACTGTGACAGATTTCCACATGATGCCACTGAAATGATTCTAGGTGAGAATGGGTAGTCTTCTACCATACAGGGTTTCCACCATACAGATACTGTAGGTTTGAGTAACCTCCAGAGAATAGATAACGCTAAGGTCATTAGAAGAAAGGAATTTTTTTTTTTTTTTTATTGTTGGTCGTTCAAAACATTACATAGTTCTTAATACATCATATTTCACAGTTTGATTCAAGTGGGTTATGAACTCCCAATTTTAC